CCTAGTGTGGGGCAACGTTTTTTTTAAAAGCAAAAAAAATAAGAAATAAGTAGATACGCTGTTTGACGCGTCACAGTTCACAATCTCGTACAAAATTCATAGAAAAATGTCGTTTTGACAGTTCGTAAAAAGTATTATAATTGGCAAATAACGCATTTACCAATCAGTCATATCAGTCTTCAACCGGCAGTCAGTTAGGTACATTTTGTGTATGTGAACAGGTTACATTTACAATACAGTTTACTTTCAGCAAATGTCATTTGAATATAAACTGGATGAACCTATCTAGTCGATAAATTGAGATAACCGTCACGTCGCATAAGATACGGATAACGCATAGGATGAATTCACACTGCAGATTTATAAGGAATTATCTCCTTATCCTATGTTTAAATTGTTTTTTATATTAACACTTCGATATTTTTTTTTATATAAACCGACCGTCATATCCGTAGAAATATTATCACAGTTATTTTTTAGTATCAATGTTTCACGAGCGTACGGTGTGTCGCGTTTCGCGCGCGCCTCAAAAAGCTATCAGACTACCACAGATAGGACCCAGTAGGGCTAAAGCCTGACTGCCGGCGGCCTTGCGGGTTACCGGAACGAAGCACGAGTATGAACCGGATAGTTTTTAGTCAGTCAAAAAAAGGTATCGCTTACGCAGCCTTGTAAAAAACTTTTCTAAGTTTGTTCTGAATTGTATTTGAGTTTAAAAGTTAAGTAACATAACATAACATAACATAACATCACGCCTTTTATCCCCGAAGGGGTAGGCAGAGGTGCACATTATCCCACTGTACAATGTAACAACCACTTTTCACTATTTATGCTATGAGTCCCATGTAATAGGGGGTGAGCCTATTGCCATATACCGGGCACAATTCCAGATCCGTGCTACTAATGAGATTTTTTTAAAAACCCAGTAATACTTTGCCCGACCCGGGAATCGAACCCGAGACCCCTTGCCCGGCAGTCGCACCTGCAACCACTCGGCCAACTAGGCAGTCTTAAAGTTAAGTACTTAGGTATTTATCCTTTTCTTAACTTAAATATGACTTTCTTTTCTAAGCCCTAGGTCCAGAACAAAGACTAATACCTAGTACCCAAAAAACGGTTTCTAACAGTATAAACACGTCTTTATCCACCTAGGAACGTCATCTCTGTCCTTGGTACCCGTACCGTCTTTTAAAGCACTTTAAATCCAATCAAGTCGTCAGTTTGATTGGCCAATTTTATAATAAACAGGTGCCAGGGTACGCCAGTCAACCTCGGGACAGACTCCAACACCGACAAGCGCAATAAAAACTCTTTGAGTGAAAAAAAGGGGATTTAATAAAAAAAAAAAATGATTCGTCTATTGCTTTTGGCCGCTATGGGTATGTTGGTGTTTTTATTTGTTTTTCTTTTTTCAAACTGTGTTTTGATTTTTTTTTGATTTTTTTTGCGTTTTAGGTATTCTATTTATTTGTTTTAAAACTGTACGGATTCGAAAAGTTCGTTTAAAAATGCCTCCACATTACACTGGTATTTTTACAATAGCAATACACTTGTTTAAACGATTTGCTGTAACATATTATCAGGAGCTTCTTTTATTTTGATTGTAAAATAAACAAATTAATCGGTAGTAGGTACTTAAACAAACTCTATTTTCTGTTAAACGACGTAAATGAAAAAAAATTATGATTACCAGCTCAATGAATACCATATTTGTCCAGTATACTATGATAACTGCACAGCCTGTGTTTTGCTGTCAAATAAACGATATCATCATCAACAGCCTATAAATGCCCACTGCTGAGCAAAGCCTCTTCTCACACGGAGAAGGTTTGAGCATAAATCACCACGCTTGCTCAATGCGGGTTGGCGATTCATCATCAACAGCCTATAAATGCCCACTTCTGAGCAAATCTTCTTCTCACACGGAGAAGGTTTGAGTATTGATCACATTAGCTCAATGCGGGTTGGCGATTACAAACTTATTATTATAAATTATAAGCCCAGATTTCCTCATGATGTTTTCCTTCACCATTTGTCAGTGGTGTCTTGATAATCTTATAAAGTACATATAACTAGTCTATATAACTAGTAGGAAAAAGTCACATTGGCACTTGCCGTTGGTAGGTTTCGAACGCGCAGCCTCATGCATGCGAAGCGGGCGTCTTAAAACTTCGGGTCACCACGACATAGATACGATCTATAATTTTTTATTCACGTTTTTTAAATATTCTCAATAGTTACCTACCTAATTTAGCATTGTATTCGACTGATAACTGGTGAAAAATGTAAGTTATATTTGCCAAGTCTTTTTTTTATGGCATAAGCCGGTAAACGAGCAGACGGATCACCTGATGGTAAGCAATCGGCGTCGCTCATGGACACTTGGAACACCAGAGGCGTTACAATTGTAACGCAATTGCGTTACCGGCCTTTTGGGGATTAGGAGTTTGAGGATCGTTGGGGATTCAGGAACTGGGAAGATTGGGGAAGGGGAGGGTAATTGGGCCTCCAGTAACCTCACTCACACGACGAAACACAACGCAAGCGTTGCTTCACATCGGTTTTCTGTGAGGCAGTGGTATCACTCCGGTCGAGGCGGCCCATTCGTGACGAAACATGGCTCATGGCCACACTTGAAGTCTGAGTCTCTTGAGTCTTACACATAGACGGCCCAAACTGGTTGTTTCTGGTATACGAACTTCTCTAAACTACTACTTGATGAAATGTCTAACAAAAGCTAACCAGATAAACAATTACCTGGGTATTATACATCTTAAGTAAGTAAACATGAAATATTCGACAAATATTTATTCTAAGATAACCCAATTTCACTACAATTCTGTTGAAATGATTCATTGTACAGAAAACGGCACATCAACGAACACCAAATTGAAAATCCATCCACTTAATTTTCGACTTTAACTCAAAAAGTTAAAGTTGAAAGTCTCTTACAGATTTTAGTATACTTTGATACGCTGATTCCGTTCAGTGAGATCAAAGTATGAATGTTCTGTTTAGTTACCATATACCTGAAAATATGGAATAAATTAGGTTTATGCTGCCCACCTGATCCATCTAGGTCCCGTTAGATTACGTGTACGTACAAGCTTCGCGTAGTCATTTTTTTTACATTCAGTCCAGAAACACACGCGATGGTGGAAAACATAACATAACATCACGCCTTTTATCCCCGAAGGGGTAGGCAGAGATGCACATTATACCACTGTACAATGTAACATCCACTTTTCACTATTTATGTTATGACTCCCATGTAATATTAATAGTGAGCCTATTGCCATATACCGGGCACGTGCTACTACTGAGAATATTTAAAAACCCAGTAATACTTTGCCCGACCCGGGAATCGAACCCGAGACCCCTTGCCCGGCAGTCGCACTTACGACCACTCGGCCAACGAGGCAGGCAGGCGATGGTGGAATGTTATAAAAACTTATTTTGAAAAAGAAAACCGTTAGCTTCGAGCCATAAACTCCTGGACGTTCCAACTTCAAACGAAATGTGCAAAGATTTGAGTATTGTGCGCGTATTCTATTTTAGCTTTAATTATAAAATTATAGCGTAATAATAAACCACTGAAACTTTTTGAAACATCTCAGTCTTCTTGCAGGAAGCCGCCGTAAAAAAAACGCTTGCATTATGTTTCGTCGTGTGAGTGAAGGTTCTATCAGAAGCCCAATACGTCCCAAAATTCTCCAATTACGGACGGTATTTGACAACAAGTCAAATTCAATACTTTTTTCGAACTGTTAAATTATCTTGGGTATCCATCGACATGTCACAGTCGTTATTTTTGAACGAAAATGCTTGTAATGAATCTGCATCGCAAATAAACCGGGCGGAATTTTGATCTGCGACGTCTCGATCGGTATCGCCTCTGATGTTTCGGATGTACATACAATTGTTCACCAACAGAAGTCTAAGGACGAGTTTGTTTTTCTAAATGAGACCGCGTTCGGCGCTCTGATTGACTGGTCAATATTGGAGCTGGCCAATTAGGGCGCCGAACGCGGTCTCGTTTATATCAGCTCTCAGGTGATCCGCCTAATCGGTTATCATATTACATTTTTACATTGACTTTACTTATTTGAATAGTAAAGTCAATTCAAGGACATTTTAATATATTTCTGCGAACCATTGCTTGGCTAAATACAAATAGAAATAAATGGTCAAACTGTAATGTAAACTGAAAATAGTGTAAGCAGCGTATAGTTTACTTCTATTGCAAAGGAAATAATGCTTCGAAAATCGGATAAAGAATTTTAGTCCAGTGTTAGTTTGTTGTAGTGTCATCTGCACAAAAATCTTAGGCGAATGGCAAACACTGGTAACCAGCATAACATCAACCTACTGCCATCTATTGAGTGCGGTGTGAAAACACCGCACTCAATAGCACCTCAATAGCACCTTTGTGCTACATTTAGCGAGAGACTAAATTCTTGAATAATATTAAGATCTTCGTGTTCATTAAGATTTTTATTTATTCAACATGAACAAAAAATTCAACATATTTATCAGAATTACATTTCAATTTAATTTTTGAAAATAATGGTTATGTATTAAAAAAATCAATTGATTTTTCTATGCAGAAGAATAGGTTTTATTTTTAACAATAATGATATAAACTTACACTAAAATATACTTATTTCAATCCTGGCAACATTTAGTTTTAGAAATTTAATGGTTTGGTCACATTATGACAGACAAAAGTGTTTTGTTATTGTAAGTTGTAACCTATAATTTGCGACATAAAACAATACAGAAGTTCAAAACAAATAAAGTTCAGTTCGGTATCAAAGAAATTAGTTAAATTACTCTAATGGGTATGTAAGATATAAATATTTACGTTTCCTTAATATTGTTTTACTAACAAAACACGACCTTGTATTGTATTTATGATCGGCACAAATCATGACGTTTCAAACCGGTGTTGCCAATAAATGAATAAAAAAGTTTCTATTTTTGTCTACTGTTTTGGTAGAAATGGTAATTTTTTTTTGTTCTCAGCCATCGTTGTGAGATCAGCAGAGGAAGAATCAATGAAGAACTTAACTACAATCACTTGGGCGCATGCCGTCAATAATAAAACATATCTACAAGCTTCTTTAGCAAGTGAGTATAAAAATTTTGAATAAGAAATAGGTCATATCATATAAAAATGTACTCTATTATCTATTAATGCGGTAGATTCACGCTTTGTCATGATAGACCTCGGTCAACAGCAATAACACCACGGCATTACAGGACTGAAAGCAGTGATCAGCTGGGCATTCAGTAGGTGGTTATCGGTCGGAAGCCTCATTCCCTCCTTTCCACAAGGGCCAGAATAACGGTCTTGTGACTTACTTATGTGTCCATTGAACATAGTCCATAATATTCTATAATTATATATAATTTCGTAACCAAACAGTAACTACTTGTTTACTTCACAGCAATCAATCAATTTGTCACAAAAATAATTAATCTAAATTAGACCTTATGAACTTCAATAAGTAACAATTTAAATTCATAATATTCCCATTAGCGACATACCATTAATAGGGATATTAGCAGTACCATTTATTAATCAACTTTAATATCTTTCGTCCCTTTCTACTGTACAGCATTAGACAGAGAGACGGTTAGTTGTGTGTACAAGAGTAATATAAACTAATTTGGTGTGGCAACACTAGACGGTTAGGGTTTGGTGCAAGTTAAGGGAAAGAGGAACAGAATAAAAGCGGACGCGGGTAGACAATTTCTTCCCCAGTCTATATTTTTTACTCGACTCCTTTGCTAAATTGTGAACCAATGTTTTACAATATTTAATGGCTTAACTTAAACCATAACAGTAGTCAGATAATAGGGTAGTTTCCTAAATTTTATTTTAATGTCCGTCTGGTATATTGTTTTAAAAATTTAGACACGTATTTTTTCTTTTCTCACAAAATTTAATGCTTTCGACGATATATTGATTTGAAATGACGTGCGACGTCACAACACAACCTCCCATTATCTACCTACTCCTAAACTTAACGCCATTTGATCTAAGTATTGTAACTGTATACCAACGAGGAAATAAAAAATACGTGTCTAATATTTTTTCATCATCTAACTGACGGACTAATTAGATTTTTAATTTTCTTACCCTGGCAACTACCCTATTAGTTTGTAAAGTGATATTATTTGACAAACCTACCGATAAAAAAACTTGGTAAAAGTTACTTTCTCCTCATGTCAGGTCATGTCACGCGAGCGATGTCCTCCGTGTCAATGTGTGTATGTTCTGCGTGTAAGTGTATAGTAGCTAGGTGCCACAGTCGGTGTTTAAAGAGACTATGCCCGCCTTTTTTCAACTTTCTTGTCTATATATATAGAAAAAATGTAGATTAAAAAAACAACATGCAACAGAAAAGTTTTAGTACGATCCAGATTTATTATCAAGTTTTTGAGATTAAAATATTAGTTATACACATTTACAAGCGAATTATTTGTTTATTAATATTAATATTTATAGGTACTACTTACTGTCATTTAGTTGTTGTAAGAAAATAATTTGTTTCAACGTCCTTGTCTATGACTTGCACCAAACTCTATCAGAAATAGCCACCGTCTCTTGTTTCCATCGTTACCATTTCGTGGAACACAATAATTTGTAACAATTACCAACGTGACAGATTTGGGCTCCACATTCACGCGTACTGAACCACAGATGATGTTATGATGGATAACTCACAGGCTACTTATGCACAATTTTTTTCTTCACTATATAGTATAAAACAAAGTCGCTATCCTCTGTCTGTCTGTCCCTATGTATGCTTAGACCTTTAAAACTACGCAACGGATTTTGATGCGGTTTTTGTAATAGATAGACTGATTCTTATGGAAGGTTTTTATGTCTAGTACATGCATATAGAGCATCGCTAGTATGGTATAAACCAGTAAACGAGCAGACGGATCACCTGATGGTAAGCAATCGGCGGCGCCCATGGACACCTGGAACACCAAAAGCGTTACAAGTGAGTTCCCCGCCTTTTGGGATTAGGAATTTAAGGATTGATGAGGATTCAGGGATTGGGGAAGAGGGGCTCTCCCACACTTGACGATAATTTTATGTTTCACTTACGTTATGGTTGATATCAATAACTGATCTTAATCCAATAGTCTCTGGATCGATTTGTGTTCGTGATAGAAATCCAATCTATACTTAAAATTGATCTAAGGGTTTTGAAATTTAGTTTCGACCGCAACCTAACTACCAACTGCAAAAATGTTCGCGGTATCATAATTATTATTACATTATCATAAACTGTTTTTTTTTAAAGTTGGTTATATCTAGTTCGATCTAAATTCTAAGAGCCGATGTGTCTCTTAGAATAAAGACAAACACAAAACAGTTACCAAGAACATCACGCGGCCATTAAAATAACTTACGATGTCTGTCGTCTAAAATATTTGAAAGAACAAAAGGTTTAACGTTTAACAAATATGTATAACGCAGTTCCAGTGCCCTCTACCTGCGTAATATTTGCACAGATGTGTGCGTGTGTGTGTGTGTTCACGCAAAACCAATTAGGTACTCTATTTGTTTGTTAATCTGTGCCGTGCGCGCGATTCATTGAAAGTGTTACCGAAACAATTGAATGCAAATATTATTCTAGAACAATAGTTTAGTTCAGTTGCCAGAACTCGAGAGTAAATATTAAATATTGTGTAATTATTACTTTAGCATTTAGTTACATTCTGAATCAGTTTAAACTATGGAATTAATTTCATATGTGTTTTTTTTTGAGGGGGGAAAATCATCCAATGACTTCTCTCGCTCGGGTAAAGCGAGTGGGAGTGTCAGACTCTTACTGACTAAAAACCATACCGTTCCTACTCCTGCACTTCTAGCCGGAGCCCCAGCAACCCGTTAAGTCTTCCGCGGCTCAATTTAATATGTCTAGAAACGCTAATAGGGCTTAAGAATAGCTAGAATTTTAGGTTTTATCGAGCGTATTCATTTTTTAAAGGTAGAATTTTAGAATAGATTATCGAATAGTTATCAGCAGCCACTAGCACTAGCGGGAATCGAACCCCTTTGCATGGCAGCTAGTTGCCCAGCCATTAAGTTTTTCAACATTAATTTTTATTTCTAGGCAGCATTTGCATGTTGGAAGCCGACATTGTCATCGGAACTGTGATTGGCAAGGAAGGTCCTGCCATCCCCATAATGGCCCACCCACCAGCAACCTCATCCGACCTGTCCTTGGCCGAGTTTCTGGAGACCGTGTCCCAGCACAACTTGAAGGAATCTAATCCCAGCAGTAAGAAAGGAGTGAAGCTGGATTTCAAGAGCATTGAGGCTTATGAGGAGAGTCAGGAGCTGATTGGTCGCTACCAGGCGCAGGTATGGAGTTTATACCTTTTTTTATGGAATAGGAGGTAAACGAGCAGACGGATCACCTGATGGTAAGCGATCAGCGCTGCCCATGGACACCCGCAACACCAGAGGAGTCGTTGCCGGCCTTTTAAAAAGGAATACGCTCTATAATACCTTGTCTAAAATTTCTGTTACAATAACCGGAGATAGGTAAGTTCTTAGCTCATTTATTGAATGGCTGAAGACTATTTCTAGATTGAAGAGAATTCATAATTAGGCAGCGTTACTTTTTTCTAATTCTAGAGCGACAAGCTGTGATTGGCCGGCACTAATGAACCAACCAATCAGAACACAGAACGCCATCTCGTTTCGATTATTTTAAACGAAAAAGAAATTCGTACTAAGGCCTCTGGCTAGTATAGGAAATCAATGTAATACAAAATAAACTTTATTGGCAAAAAAAATACTATACCATCTTCTTGAGTGGAGTTCATATGTATATAGTCCACTTTTATCTAAACCTTGTTTTGTTTTCGACAACCACGCGAACGAAGTCGCGGGCACAGCTAGTACAAAATAAAAGTTTAATCCTAATAACTATAGTGAGACATACTAAATTAACTAAAATCGCGGGTTACTCACGTGAATATACTGAGTAAAGCTCTACTAGTTTCGAACCACAGAGGGGTTCTTCCTCATGAGCAGCGTGCGCGGTCGCGGGAGACGATATCACGTAGCCTATAGGCTGCCCCTCTGTGGTTCGAAACTAGTAGAGCTTTTCTCAGTATATTCACGTGAGTAACCCGCGATTTTTAGTTAAAAGTTCAATCCAATTTTTTTAATGGGACAATGCTGCTACATCCTCCCAAAACCACTGTAACTCCTGTAAGCCAGGATCTACAGTAAATGCAATTTAATACATGTGCTAATCAGATCATTTCATAATAATTTATACTGTAATTATGCAAATAAACTAATAGTCAAAGTCAAAATAACACACTAAAACCGATGCAAGTTTTAATTTTTGTATTTTTATCTACTCCCAAAAATATCTATATTTATTATTATATTTACAGTATCTATGGAAATAATCATTGTCTCATAGGGTTTCCTACACCACACGACAACTACACACAAAAGTAAATCTTATCCTCGACCAATAAGATTTATATTCAAACATGTACCACGTTCTCTTCTATTACCAACACCAGTCATAGGAATAAGGACTCTATTTTCATAGGTTTAGAAACGATATTGTTTTGGAATGGTACCAGCAGACATCTTAATTAGAATAATGACGTAGCGTGTGAATAATCGAGAATTTAATACAACATCTTGTGTGGTCGGACTGTGTGGGTTTGGGGCCATGACATCAGCGGGAACAAATCTGTTGAGGAGCGATGACATAGCATTTATTCATCTTTAAAGCAAATGTGATATTTTTACGTGGAAGAACCATGCTTCGAGTATTCGAGATGGATGGGTCAGCGTGGGGTGGTACAACGGTCTCACATAAAATGGGCGTGAAACTACGCCTGCGTGAATGAGCTGTCAGTCAGTCCGTCAGTGAAGCTAGGTGAAGCTAGGTGCTCATTCCAAAATGTAGATTCTAATGGAGAAGAACGAGAAAGGAACTCCACTCGTTACTCTGTTTAAAAAAGTATGTTCTACAATGTCTCTGATCCATATTCCAATACTGTACGTATATGTGAGAACAATGCAAAGACACGCTTGACGCATTATAGCTACTAATTACAAACCTTACTAAAAATAAATCTTATAGTCTAACATGGTGCTCACATATGCATACTGACAATCCATAAAAATAGTGCTTCTATACAAGAAAAAGGTAACTCTTTGTTTCAATAAAGTAAGAAATGCCCATCATAAGGATCTAATAACTAAAAGTTCTTTTTCGACTCTAGTCATCAAAAAAAATTACAAACTGCGCTCTTTGCCATTGGTCAAAATAATATTCCCGTATAAAACTCTTGAACATTAATCACACAAGCTACCTATTACTAAAATGACCTGTCTGACCCTCGTTTCCGCTGTCTCTCTGGCCCCACAGCTACACAGACACATGTCGCGGGACGCTAGATCTACATTTGTTATAACATCGCTCCATGATTGAACACCCCTGAAAAAATGGCGGCCCGTCAACAGATTTAGCAGATGTGTTTAATTTTAGTGTCATTTATTAATCGCCCGTATCCTGTCCGTGGGAATCCTTTTGTTTTATTTCGAACTAGCTTTTAATAGCGGCTTCACTCTACATAAGAATTATTTTAGACTACAGTAACTGTCTAACTACACTACCTCGATGTCCGAGTGGTCGCAAGTGTGAAGGGCAAGGTCTCGGGTTCAATTCCAGGGTCGGGCAAAGTATTATGTGTTTTTTTAACTCTGAATAGTAGCACGGAGTCCGGAATTGTCAGGTATATGGCAATAGGCTCACCTCTTATTACATGGGTATCATTATACAAATAGTGAAAAGTGGGTGTTACATTGTACAGCGGCATTAAGTGCCGTAATGTGCACCTCTGCCTACTCGGGGATAAAAAACTGTAAAAATGATGTTGTTATTATGTTATACGTGATTATGTTAAATATTTAAAGTACAATCTATTCCTGTGTCAAATTTCATCCAAATCCGTTCAGTACTTTTTGCGTGACAGTAGTAAACACCTGTCTTCGCCAATTCGCTTAAAAATCCAATCTACGAACAATCGTGGTCATTGCCTGATGCTAATTCCTTATCCGTTTTAGAAGAAGCATATGTCCAGCTGGACAGTGTACACTCTGGTATTTTTTTAAGGGGGGAAAATAAATGAAAGACTTCTCCCGCCCGGGTGAGTTCAAGAACCACCCTGTTCCGTCTCAGCCGTACTTCGAGCCGGAGCCCCGGCAACCCGTTAAGTTCTCCGCGGCTCCGTAACCTGGTTTGGATTACCGATTACTTAGTAGGATTGACATTAAAAAAAATGGTGCAGACAGAATTAAACTAGGATTATAGTGCACTGTATTGGGTCCATTGTAATAAAATTTTTCTAGTATCTCGGGTCGGCGACCCGACGAGACTGTATGTTATTTTTTCATCTATTCTGTAGACTTGAGTAAGATTAGTGGGGAGTTTTTACGGCTCAAAATTATATGTGTTTCACTTTGATAGATGATAAAATGTGTCAGTTTGATAGTTCTATGTGTGGGAGAGCCATGCTTCGGCACGAATGGGCCGGCTCGACCGGAGTGATACCACGGCCTCACAGAAAACCGACGTGAAGCAACGTTGCGTTGTTTTGTCATGTAAGTAAAGTTACTGGAGGCCCAATTACCCTCCCTTCCCCAATCTCCCCAATCCCTGAATCCCCAATGATCTAAAAACTCCTAATCCCCAAAAAGCCGGTAACGCACGGCTCTGGTGTTCCAGGTGTCCATAGCTACTCCGATTGCTTACCAACAGGTGATCCGTCTGCTCGTTTACCGGCTTATGCCATAAAAAAGAGACAGAGTTGTTGGAAAACAAACGATGTAAAGGCCGCATAAAACGACGCCATAAAGTATCAATTAAATTGACAGTTGAAATGGCATTTATTTTAGTTTAATTAGCAGCATTCATACCATAACAAAGAACGTCCTAAAAATAAAAACATAAGAGTTACCAAACCTCAATTGGGTACATTTAGGTCGTCCACGCGACCGATGCTTTTTAATTCTACAATGCGGTTAAGGTCGTATTCTGAAAAGGGGTCCCTGGTTCCAGTAAATGACGAGTTATTTTTACACAGTCGCAACGTTACCGCCTTCAACCCTCTGATTGGTTAATTGACTTGGAGTAGCCAATCAGAGCGCTGAACGTCATAAACATGTTGATCGCGTTAGCATAAAACATACTCGCATTAGAGACGTTGAAGCTATTTTACTAATGTTACTTCTTACTTTTTTTATGGCATAAGCCGGTGAACGAGCAGACGGATCACCTGATGATAAGTAATCGGCGTCGCCCATGGACACCTGGAACACCAGAGGCGTTACAAGTACGTTACCGGCCTTTTGGGGATTAGGAGTTTGAGGATCGTTGGGGATTCAGGAATTGGGAAGATTAGGGAAGGGGAGGGTAATTGGGCCTCCGGTAACCTCACTCACACGACGAAACACAACGCAAGCGTTGCTTCACTTAATATTAGAAATGTGATAGTTTGTTAGTTTGCGTGTTTGTGTGTTTGTTTGTTACTCAATAACATCAAAACGGCTAAAGAGATCTGGATGAAATTTGGAACAAGGATAGATTATGGTATGGAATACAACATAGGCTACTTTTTATCCCACAGGAATGCGCGCAAAGCCGCGAGCAGAAGCTAGTTTGGTTCTAATTTAAAATATTATGTCAGTTGTTTGAACAGCGGCCTGGCTAACTGTAGTTAGTGGTGAACTCCAATTGGTATCAATTAGAGAAATGTCTTCATTACAAAGGAATGATTCACGGTCATGTTACTCTAAGGGTGTAAGCAGTGGAGGTTATAAGCTATAGAGATAATATAAAAGCGATGGTTCGTATTTACAATAAACACATCTATTTATGATACATCATGATTTCTGTCTTCCTGTCTGATTATAAATGTGAAGAATTTGTTCATAGTGGTGACAAAACAAGGTGTTTTTGTCGGTCGGTTCAGTTTTTATTATTTATATTGTCAACATCATCTGCTAACAATTGGGTAGTTGCCAAGGTATCAAAATTAAAAATCTAATTAGTCCGTCAGTTAGATACTTAATGAAAAAATATTAGACACATTTTTTTTTTTTTTTGCGTTTTAAGTTGCAATATTTAGATAAAATGGCGCTAAGGTTAGAAGTGGGAGGTCGTTACGTCATAACGTCTTACAAAATGTCGCACGCTGTGACGTCACACGATATTCCAAATTAATATATCGTTGAAAGTATTTAATTTTGTGAGAAAAGAAAAAATACGTGTCTAAAGTTTTAAATTAATATACCAGACGGACATTAAAATAAAATTTAGGAAACTACCCTATTGAAAAAGTAACCAAATTTTTAATGAAAAATAAAAACGTAACTAAAATTTAAACAGACAATTTGTAGTTACCTAAAAGTATGAAAATAAATGACTGAAAAACCCGCTCGCCATCTTTACGCTTTCTTTAATAAACGAACATGCGCATGCGCACATGTGCATCGTCTTCCGCGTATCATTATTATGTGTAATGGTCTTTCACGTAGTACTAAATGTCTGTCTGTTTGTCATGAAACCATCTCCAGTACATTGATCGTGAACTTGATTGGAGTAGCGAGTCATATAGTCTTAAGGCTAAATAAAATCTACACATAACATCACGCCTTTTATCCCCGAAAGGGTAGGCAGAGTTGTACATTATGCCACTGTAAAATGTTACACCCATTTATGTTATGAGTCCCATGTAATAGGGGGTGAGCCTATTGCCATATATCGGGCACAATTCCAGACTCCGTGCTACTACTAAGAATTTATAAAAAACCCAGTAATACTTTGCCCGACTCGGGAATCGAACCCGAGACCCCTTGAGACTCCTTGCCAACGCGGCAGTCTATACTTATAAATTGTAATAAATCTGTAGAGAGGTCGATTTTGTACGTGAAATATATTTCCAAAATAACTATCAAGGGGTGATAAGTGATCGATGCTTATGCCAAAAATGCAATCAGTAAAATTTTTGTCTGTCTGTCCGTCTGTATGTATGTTCCTTATAGAAACAAAAACTACTCGATGGATTTTAACGAAACTTGGTACAATTATTCTTCATACTCCTGGGGAGGTTATATTATACTTTCCATCACGCTACAATCAATAGGAGCAGAGCAGTGAAGTTGAATCAATTTTGATGCGGTTGTCAGAAAAATGTTTTTAATTAGTAAACTTTGATTTTGTAAACATTTTATTCTATTCCCAGGGCTTACCAATATGGCTGAATGCTGACATCCTCCCCGGACCAGTGGATGCTACCACGAAACCAGTGGATCCTGTGAAGTTCCTGAAGCTGGGCTCCAAACATGCCTGTGCTGTGTTGTCGGTCGGATGGACTACCAATTACGGAGGGAACATCACCGAGGGAGAGTACACCAGCGAACAAATCGGTACCATGCTAAGGATGATCAACGAAAACCATATCAATCAAACTGTTACCTTTCCTGTAAGTACATAATATTATCTATATTAATAATTTCGTCAAAGGGTACGATAGACTCGATCGAAACATTACCTGAATAACAAAACATAAAAAAATATCGATTTCGAGTCGACAACATAATATCCGCAACATTTGGAATACGGAGATTATTTCGTTTTATTAATTCATTTTAATGACACTGACAGACAAACCGCAGTCGCCATCTTGAGTAGACAATAAACGTTCCGTTTCATATTAGCTTTCAAATAGGTAATCACCTCACTAATCAACACTTAGTCGCGTCAAAAAGTATAAATTAACAAGAAATATGAATAATTTCACGCGAACGAAGTCGTGGGTAACAGCTATTGAATTATAATTCGTCTGTTTGTTAAGATGATAGTAGTAAGATAAAATTCAATAGGAAATTAAGAAGATACGCCGTAATAGAAGACAGGCTTGTTTAAAATGTTCCATGAGAGTAAAATCTACACAAGCGCCACCTAAACACACAAAATACTGATGTAAGTATTGTACTATGGTGTATGAACATGCTTAGATTATGGTTATTTTAAATTCCGAAGTAAGTAATTGTATTTATACAAGGTGTTGTTTTAAAGCCGCGTCATTTTCTAGGAGGTAATAGGGCTATCAATTCTGCGTCCGAATCAATAAAAAAATAAATAAATAGGTAAATATTTTTATTTTTCTGTAAATTACGGAAATCCGTAAGTGCGAACTACACGCCGCCGTCTTGTAACTAGCTTTATAACGCGGCTTAACACTCACAAACTTAAACACGTAATTGATAATTCCATAAAACTCCAATAAGAAACATTGCTGTCGCTTATTCTGAAATACTGTCGAACTTAAACGATTTATTATAGCCGTATTTTTAACTATTGGCCCGAAATTTTCTCTTACATTGAACCTTTATGACCTCTGTGACATGCCCCCGAGAAATGTCGCGGTTTCAAAACTACACCTTGTATAAATAAAATAATAAAATAAATAGGATAGGATAGGATAAATAATAAATAAATAGGATAAAATGCGTTATTTGTCTCACGATTAATAGGACCAGTTCCACCCGAGTTCCAGTCAAGTCTTAAACGATTTTGTCATGTTTTTATACCATTGCATCATCAAGATTTTTTAATATTACTTATGTTTCAGGTTCGTGCTGGTCTAGCAGCCAATAGCCAACCGGTTCTCCTGGACCTTCTTCGAGAAACCTCCTCTCTCAACTCCACCATGACAGTCTGGTCTAGCGAAGGTGATCATGTGGAAGTAGACCGTCTCCGCGCCCTGATCCTCACTGTAGGCTTAGAGAGGACCTACCTGGATGTCCCTCAGGAGTTAGCTGGTAAACTCCATCTTCCTCCACCAGACGCGAAGGCCAAGAACTAAATGTAACACTGTAGATCTTTCTAGAAAATATAACTTGGTGTTTTAATAAATTCTAATTGGAGTTTGATTTTTCTATCGTGTTGTGAGGTTTTATTGGCATTCATATCGTGGAGGTTTAAAACCTGATGAGTGTTTTTATCTAAGATTAGTTTTAGTAAAACGTATTTTCTCCTGTGTCGTGGTTGCGTTTACAAACATACAAGTTTACATATACATGACACCCAGACTCGGAACAACGATCTGTGGATCACATAAAGAGTTGTTCCGTGCGGGAATCGAACTCGCGACACGTTGCGCGGCAGTCAATTGCCTAACCACCGCGCCAACCGTGCTGTCTTCAGCCAATGGCAGATTGTCTTGAATAATAACATTGCCAGAGAAAACTGAAAATTTAGAGTACTTAATTTTTAACATCTGTCAACAAAGTATAACTATTGACTGAAGAAAATGCATTCGTAATGTCAACCTTCAGGACGTCTACTTTACTGGAATTCAAGGTGGGTTGACAATGCATGCACGGCAGCCTCGCAGCCCCCTCTCGATAAGAACCCAAGTTAAAGGGGCTGAAACTTTTCCGAAAGATGATTACTATAAAATTTGCAACAAATCTTGGCTGTCGTTGGACGATAAGTTGTTTCCACGGCAATGGGACGATGCAAATAGTTATTGCTTCTCTTTTTGTTAATAGCTAAGCTTCCAAGGCACCCTTTGTAATACTAAAATTCAATCAATATCACATAACATAGGACAACATCGCCTGTTCGCGTCCACCCACCCTACTAAAATTCGCTAGTTCTCGTCCACTCACCAGTTTGCGTCTATTTTACAGATCTTTATGAATAACATAACAACACGCCTTTTATTCCCGAAGGAGTAGGAAGAGATGCACATTATGCCACTGCACAATGTAACACCCACTTTTCACTATTTATGTTATGAGTCCCATGTAATAGGGGGCCAGCCTATTGCCATATACCGGGCACAATTCCAGACTCCGTGCTACTATTGCCCGACTGTCGAAACCCCTTGCCTGGCAGTTGCTCTTGCGACCACTCGGCCAATGAGGCAGTAAATCAATATTCTCGTTACAAATTAGCGTTCATCTCCGTACCTATAAGTTTAAGGTCAGGAATGTACACCGCCCAGTAATTAATATAAATTTTAAGCCACATTATTATAATTCTCATTGTTCTGACGCTGTCTTGTCTCCATCCTCCAAGCCCTAACCCAAAACACTTAACACCAACAATCGTAAACCTTATGCTTTATGCAATAAGAGCTTTTACAACGGAAACATTAAATTAGTTTTCAATTCTGCATTTACAACATCAATTGCAGTTGAATTAAGGAGATTTGAACCTTGTTTAGTACGGCACAAGAGTTGTTTGTGTCTATAATATGGTGGTAGTGTAAAGGGTGTCGACCTCAACCATGTGTGAGCCACGTGGCTGTGTTGCACTGGGACTATTGTCATTCATGAGCTGTTGTTTGAACTGACATGAATCTATTTAGATTGGTACCTGCAAGATGTGAATGAGTGTATATTTTACAAATACAATTACAAAATGGTAATGTGTGAGCTCGTTCTTGGAACTTAGGAGACACCTATTTGCTGTTCTTGCTATTTAGGTGAGCGATTCTTAAGTCGGTTTGTTGTGTATAATATTAACGGTGTGATTCTGTTAGAGATGTGGTCTAAGGGTTCAATAGTATGCCAAGGAAACTGCTGTATAATTTTATTCTCTAGTCTTATTTTTAAGGAAGTATAGGTACGCCACAATTTGATTGTTATGATATATCAATCTCAATTAAATAAAATCTTTATTTTGATTTTAAAACTTCAGTAGTGACGATAATTCGGTATTACTAAAGTTAGTGGTGGAAAGTGCTCATTAGAAATAATTTTCTGTAAATGTAGAGGTATAAGTGCCTACGGGAAAGTGTATCGTGACGTCATAATCTTTGTACGTCAAATAGCATACTTATTTCTTTAGAAAGTAAACTATAATTATCGTCAAATTAATAATTAGTGAATGTGTGAATATGTGAATTTTTGAATATTTTGTTATATTGAGTTTCCTTAGTCAAGATATTTTATTTTGACTCTCAATTGGCTCGGTGTAAACATTTACCATAAAAAAATCAATACACAATTAAATGCAATACAATCTGAAATTTATTTTCAAAAGATAAACTAAGCAGATGATGTGAATTTAAACAAATTTGAACATAATTTGAAAAATAAAATTAAAACATTTCACTGTACTCAGATAGTCGCTGAAGAATTAGTTCAGTCCGTGGTCTTTTGGAAACAGTTTAAGCAGTTGCTTCGGCGGTGGCGGCATCAGAACTGGCAGCATCGCTACTGGCAGCAGAAGCACTCTCTTGCACAGCATCTATCAATGCGTTCAACTGCTCTTGTAATGAGTCCAATGCCGCATTAGCCTCCGTTAGTAAATTAACAAGTGCTTCCTTCTGAGCCGCTGCAATACCCGAAGCTACCTCACTGACTGCGTTTTGAGCTTCTTCAATTTGTTGCTCAAGTTCAGCAATCTTAGCTTTTAAGTCTTCCAAGCCTTGCTCGCTCAGTTCCTGTAGTGAGGTTCCTATTTCATTTACTAGTTCTGACACACCATTGAAAATGTTAGTCAGAGTCTCCTTCAGATCGACGTTTGTAATTTGTTCAACAAGATTTAATGCGGCTGAAACAAAATAAATATATTTCATCCATCTGTTTTCATTCAATATTCAAACCTATATAAACTAGCTGTCAACTCAGTGTTGTAATAATCAGTGAATATACTTACAGTTCACAATTTCGTCGAGTGCAGCGCCGGTTGAGTTCAGTACTGCAATATAAATAATAATTTATTATTATAATTGTCATTCAAATCAACAATACTGGTATAGTTAATAAAATGGGTTTATTTTGCTGACGTCACCAAAATATATTATGTACAGTTTCTCCTATGTCGTCTTGGTTCGTGTGGGAATCGAACCCGCTACGCATTGCGTGGCATCCGGTTGCACAGCCACCGCACCAACCGTGCAGTCATATACAGATGGCTATTTGACATATACTATACATGGAAGTATCAAGACCAAAATTTTGCACAGAAAATTAGTGTGATAATATGCTTTGCCACAGCTAGGCATATTTTATGGCTACGTGGCAAGCTAAATCTTAGAACTAGCTGGTATCCCAGTAATAAACAGAGAATGCACTTACCGTTTGATACCAAGTCTTGTACTCCGTCCACTACTCCGTCTACGACTGCAATATAAATAATAATGTATTATTATAATATTGTCACTCAAATCTCAAATCAACTTAAGAAAAAAGAAATAAAGGAAGAAGGAAATAATAATCATTATTACGGTATAGGTAATCTCACCCACGTGATCAAATACAAACGTGGTGATCAATGCTCACCTTCACCGAGTGAGAAGGGGTAAAGGCAAAGGCCCAGTATTAGGTATCCGCCTATAGTAATATCCGGCTTTTTAAAAATAAACTGTCTATGTATTTCTTACCTTGGCCAACTCCTTCTAGTGCATCACCAACGACTGCAATATAAATAATAATCTGTTAAGATACTGTAATATAGTAAATAATAAACTTATTCTAGTCATTTAAATTAACAACACAACAAGTAAGGTCCCGCTTCCTAAGCGTTAGGATATGGAGTCGAAACCAAACTGGTGAAACTAATCAACAATGCCTATGGACTTGGACCCCCCAACACCAGACGAGATATAATTGTGTTGCCCGTCGTTGCATGGGAAAGGGGGATTGGTCTGGAAATTTCACTCATGTGATCAAACGTAGTAAACTAGTAAGCAATGGTCATGCCTTCTTCGTGCGAGAAGAGGCTTTTACCCAGGAGTGGGCTTGTTGCCATGGGATGATATGATTTATACTATATTCAGTGTACTTACGGTTACCAGTATTGTTGAGGACTCCGCCAACCACTGCAATATAAATAATAATCTATTATTTTTATTGTCACTCAAATCTACAATAGAGGTAGAAAAGTGGTTTCCACTTCCTAAATAAAACGATTTGTTCTTGCCTTTAAAAAGTAATTTCATTTAGACACGACTAACATACGGCGAAAGAAAAAACTAAGAAAACGCATTTTGGAAATGAATTACCAACTATCCGACTTTTTAAAAATAAACAGTGTATGTATCTCTTACCTTGGCCAACTCCTTCTAGTGCATCGCCAACGACTGCAATATAATTAATAATCTGTTAAGATACTGCAATATAGTAAATAATAAACTTGTAATTGTCATTTAAATTAACAATACAATAAGTAAGGTCCCGTTTGAAACCAAACTGGTGAAACTAATCAGCACTGCCTATGGACATGGACCCCCAACACCAGAAGAGCTATAACTGTGTTGCCCGTCTTTGCAGGCGAAAGGGTGATTGATCCGGGGGATTGGTCCGGAAATCTCATTCATGTGATTAAACGTATTAAGCAATGCTCATGCTTTCTTCGACCGAGAAGAGGCTTTTACCCAGCAGTGGGCTTGCTGCTTTGGGATAATGTGATTTGTACTATATACAGTGTACTTACCGGTACCAGTATTGTTTAGGACTCCGCCAACGACTGCAATATAAATTATAATCTATTATTATAATTTTATTGTCATTCAAATCTACAATAAATGTTTAAACCCCAGCTAGTAAGTACTAATTTGATTTATTCCAACTGATAATGTAACTCTACCTCTAATTATATTTAGACACCATTAACATACGATGAAAAAAACTATAATTATTTTATAAACCACGTTAAAAAACCGACTTTAACCCCCTCGTTTTTAAGTCGGTAATTGAATATGCTAAGACCTTCTCCTAAGTGTGATAATCGCGCACATACATACATACGTACATACAGGTCAAACTGAGCCAACAAGCAATCGGATCACCTGACTAAAAGAGCAATCAGTGCTGCCAATGGACACCCGCAACACCGCAAGAGTTACAA